ATATATATTATATATATATATATATATATATATATATATATATATATATATATATATATATATATATATATATATATATATATATATATATATGTGTGTGTGTGTGTGTGTGTGTGTGTGTGTGTGTGTGTGGTGTGTGTGTGTGTGTGTGTGTGTGTTGTGTGTGTGTTGTGTGTGTGTGTGGTGTGTGTGTGTGTATGTTATATACACACACACACACACACACACACACACACATTATATATATTATATATTATATATGTGTGTGTGTGTGGTGTGTGTGTGTGTGTGTGTGTGTGTGTGTGTGTGTGTGTGTGTATATATATATATATATATATATATATATATATATATATATATATATAATATATATATATATATATATATATATATATATATATATATATATGCATATATGCATATGCATATATCTATATTATCCTCCTATTATAGGCGATCTCTCCTTCCAATCTCTTTTATATTCCTGTCTATCTGTTTATCCATGCGCATGTCTATTATAAGTTTGCATGTCTGTTAATTGAAGATTCCTGTAGAAAAAAGAATCTCACACTAACAAAGGTCAACTAAATATCACACATTTCCATACAAAACATTTATACATCAACTTCAAATTCCATGCATTATAAGCGCTAGCAAAGTTTCGGTTCCTGTAGCCAAGAGTTAGTGGCCTTTAAGTGACCTTTTTAAGGCACGGTTTCTCACCAGCTTCCTCGCGCTGAAGGTCAGAGCTTCATCCAAACATTTAACAGCAACGATGGATTGTTGTCTAGTTTCCCTGGAGAATTTACGTTCATATGGTTGTAGTTGAGTGTGTATATGGACGTAAATACATACTCAGGTGCACAGACTAAATGGCAGAAACATATATAAATACGTACTTGAAATACAGACATGAGCATGTGAACGTATACACACGCACTCACCTATGTACACACACATGGTTTACACATATACGTAAACACAAACACACGCATGTACTGATAAACACACACACCTAACACACACACACATCACCTACACACACACACACATAACCTAACACACAACACACACACACACTACACACACAACACACACACACATAACCTAACACACACACACACATAACCTCACACATACACTAACACACACACACATAACTAACACACACATACACTAACAACACACGGTACATACACACACACACAAACCTAACACACACACACTAACACACACACATCACAAACACACATAACCTAACACACACACACATAACCTACTACACTAACACACACACACATAACTAACACACACACACATAACCTAACACAACACACATAACTAACACACACACACACATAACCTACACCACACACACATAACCTAACACACACACACATAACCTAACACACACACATACACTAACACACACACACATAACCTAACACACACACACATAACCTAACACACACACACGCTCTTTACCGCTTCCGTGCCTGAAACACACGCGTAAATTCCTCCCTCTGAATCCGTTCGTTATCCAAGCAAAAGAAACCGCTTCCCTTTGCCTGATATTTAACCGCATTACCGCACGAATCCCCCGCGAATCTCACACTCGCGGGAGGACACGCAGCATCCCCAACCCCCCCCCCCTCCCCCCTCTTCCGCCAACACCTTGTTCCCACACCATATTGACCCTCCCTCCCCCCTTTTTACTTTTTCCTTTTGCCAAAATATTTTCATATCTAATAATGAGCGTATTGTGAGACCGAGATCCCCAGGGAATTGGTCCATTCAAACAGCACAGGGGGCGAAAGGGGGAGGAGTCAGGGCGGGCGGAGTCGAGGAAAAGCTGGAGGTTTCGCCAGAATTCCGGTACCACGAGAGGATTTCCTGGAAGGCGGCTTTTGCATGACGCTTGCTGTTGCAAAAACATATATATATATGTTTGTGATCTCTCTCTCTCTCTCTCTCACACACAGACACACACACACGACACACACACACACACACACAGACACACACCACACACACACACACAACACACACACACACACACACACACACACACACACACACACACACAACACACACACACGCATATATATATATATGTACATAATAAATTCTAATACTTGTATTGTGTATATTGGTACTATATATAATAACTTATTATGCTAATTGTTCTCATTATTCTCGGCGTTTTTGTTGTCTTTTCATTATCATGTTTTTATTATGTTTTATTTATGCCAAGGAACATATAAGCAAGTGTGCTGCTGAACCAAAAAAATGAAATTGACTTTTTCCAGGAGCATTATGACAGCTGTTAATGGCAGGGAACTCTTCATTATCATAAATAAAAGAGAGGAATGTTTGTTTTACTGCTGGTCATCATGACAGTGTCGAGCAAATTATACAAATAATTGTGTATCTAGCTATATATGATATCTCACAGCACACTCATTGGCTAAACGTGATGACGTCATTAGCTCCGCCCCTTTATTTGACCGGTCACTCTTTGCGATGTTTTATGGAGTGTTTTTTTCAGTGCACTTTCTTTGAAAATGGTTCATTAATAGCAATGATAGAAAAAAAAAGAAATGGAAATGAAACCATGAAAAGCATATAGAATAATTATCCAATAGTTGCTATGAATAAAGGCAAAGAGGCGGGGTTTAGTTTGGAAGTTGCCAACTAGGATATTCATCAAGTTAGAGTGGAGCTACCTGGTTCAAACTACCTTGGTTAGTACTATCCCTGGAGTTATTGCCTTCTTGGTTCCCGTTCGTATACCTCCATCCAAAACAATTATACATAAACATTACACACACACACACACACACACACACACACACACACACACAACACACACACACACACACACACACACCACACATATATAATATAATATATATAATATATATAATATATATATATATATA